GCTTCATCAGGGCTGGGAGTCTCTGTGAGACTGAGCTCCCTCGCGTTGCGCTGGTCCTTTCAGGCTGGGAGTCTCTGTGAGACTCCCAGCCCTGATGAAGCAGACTGCAACGCCTGCGAAACGTCGGCACCACACTGCAAACAGACGCGGCAACCATCCGGAAGCCATGACTAAAGAAGATAACAGCCGCGAAAGCCTGAAAACCAAATCAAAGTATACTTCGTACAGCACCTTACTTAGGTACTCCATCGGAGTGGCCAATATTGACCACTTACCTCGTCGTATTTAGTCCTTCGTTGGGCCAGATTGGGCATACCTTTCGTTGCTCCCGGCCATACAATCTGGTCATTTTGACCAGAGATCAGGAAGGAAGAAAACTCCTTCCATAGTCGGTTATCGTCACCAACAAATATTTCGTACGGTTCAAATATACGAGTGTCGATCGTATCGAAAAATGCACGACCACGAGAGATTAATTGAAGAATAATATTAATTCAAAAAACTTTACTGTATATACGAATCAAATTTATTTCTACTTCCGTTATTTGTTCAAAAATATTGACCATCTCTTCGTAACTTGGTCTTTGAACTCGAAATTCAAGTAGATATAGAATAAAATTTACTTCGCGTTAGAGTGATTTTAATCATATTCCACGATCAATTAAAATTTGTAATATGGATAAAATTAAACAATTAATAATTTCTTGAAAACTTTTATTAAAAGACCAATCGCGAAAACCGACCGCGAAAATACAGAGATGCGTGTGACTATGCATGTACTCATGCAAGACGCATTTTGAAAGTACGTATATAACGTATGTATATACGTACATAGACAGAATAAATGATGTGAGATCCAGAAGAACGAAACTTCTTTCATGATTCCAACCGATATTATATTTTTATATTATAATAAATCAATAACTGCAAATAATATATAAAAATAAGTTAAACTTTCAGTGTTCTCGATAAAATATATTAAAATCTCACATCATATTATTTTATAATATTTAATGTATCAATTTGTTAATAAAAATGGATAGGCTACAACAGATTAGCTCGACGAATATATCAATAATATTCGCCATATTTTGCTTAAGTTTTGTGATGTAATTTAACGGTTCTCAACATGGAAAGTGAATTCAACATATCTTAATATGTAGAGTTTCATAAGATTAAAAGAATGTAAAAGAAAATTAAACCTGATGAACATCAAAGACCCCGCTGCAAGAAAGAATGAATCCCAGATCTTCCGGATTACCTCCGATAGCGGTCATTTCGGCAGGGAGTTAACGACGATCGTTTCTCAAATCATTGAATCTCGTATATTTTCATTTTTAGTGAAATAACAATTATTCTTCCATTATTAGTGTTAATGGGAGAATATTTGTGGAGAAGGATATATATAAAATCTTATCTTCTTTTCTTTGTTAATTTCGCGAATCGACGTCGCGCCCTCGTGCCGAAACCGTTGCTTCCGGGGATCCGTGACAAAGAAAACCAGAGATTAACTCTGGTTCTGCAACGGAGCACCCAACCATCCACTTTGAAAATCGCTACTATTACTCTTCGGTAAATTAAATATATTAAATAAAATATTAAATTATTTGTAACCTACTCATTTTGAGGTAATGAATCTACAGAATATATCTACAATCTACGATCTACGATCTACGAGATGTAGATTCGTTACCTCGATAAA